AGACTTCTGAAGAGATTGGCTAATCATTGTATTGCCAAAAAATTAATTAGCAAAAAAGCTACCCATATCAAATAAAATTATTGTTCACCATCAATTAGGTAATGTGACAATTACTGCTATAGTATGAATGTGGTCAGAAATCATAGTTGAGAGTGAACTATACCTAAGAGTTGCAGATCTGTTGAGTTGTATTTGTTATAACCAGTTTCGTCTCATTTTTTCTGTGTTATATTTATTATCTTCTAGACCTAAGGTTCAAAGAGACAGTAAGTAAAGGACAGCAAAATCTTACTACCTCTTCTTAACCCTTTCTTAAAATATCTTCTATCTCTGTCTCTGACATAGCAATCCCAAAGGATTGTGTTACTCCTCTGTAAAATTATTTTCTTTCCCTTTTAAAAATGGTTTTACAATGAAACATATTATAACCTTTCTAGTATTGTTTCTTCTGACCTAAAGCCTAACTAGAAAACAAAGGGAATAATCATTATTTTTCCATAGAGGGATTATGGCATCAGATTCTTGATGGAACACTGTAATTAAGTAGTGATAATTAAATAGCTGCTATTCTTACTTAGAATTCAATACATTTCTCTAAAGACTTGTAACTATAATTGTAAAGCTTGTTACTGTTTATATGCTAAGGAAAACGTTTTCCAAAATAGGACTGGAATTTAGAATACCACAATAAAATTTTATTTATATAGCTTTGACAACTCTTGACAGAAAGGGCAGAAGCCATTAAAATTGTAGCATAAGGAAATACTAAAATTGCATGAGATTTAAATTATTAATTTAAAAGCTCAAAGTAAATTACCACTTTAAAATTCACTTTTGGCTCTTATGTATGTCAGGCTCTAATGTATATACATTTGGTTCTGTGGCTTAAATAATGTTATTACTTGGTATACTTTTGTGTTGTGAATACTTTGTGTTATCATTTTATTGTTGTACCATATGTGCTCATTAAAATTCTAATTTTAATTACAAAATATTTCAAATATATAGAAAAACAATATCAATGCCTTCTTCACATACTATTTTGCCATATTTGCTTCTGATTTTTAAAGAAATAAAATGCTACTCTTTTGTATTTCCTCCCTGGTGCATTCTCCTCCTTTTTAGCTTACCATTCACAAGTTGGGACAGCTCCTTCCTGTTTTTTACATTTTACCACACCTGCATCCATAAAAAGTTGTGGCTAAAAAAGTTTTCAGTTATGGTATCTTACTGTAGTTTATTAATCCTCTCACCAAAAGGCATTTCAGTGACTTTTTTTTGTCATTTTGAACAAACATACATTGTTTATATTCTTCATTGTGCTATTTACATACCTGTATATAGCTTCTTCCTTTATCACTCTCTCCCATTTCCCCACCCTCCCATCTAAAAATAAGACTTACTTGTTTCTTGAACGTAGGGTCTGAGTCCTGGCCCTGAGTTTTGTTCAAGGCTGGCACCTTCTCACTTGAGCTACAGTGCCACTTCTGGCTTTTTTTGGTAGTTTAGTGGAGGTAAGTCTCAGACTTTCCTGCCCAGTTCGGCTTTGAACCTTTGTCCTCAGATCTCAACCTCCTGAGTAGCTGGGATTACAGGTGTGAGCCCCCAGCACCTTGCTAAAAACAGTATTGGAGAAAAGCTTGGACAACAATGACTTTCAGACACATAGACCTTCAGCTTCAGACTGGTGCTGTACCTCTTGAACCATAACTCCCCTTCTGACTTTTTATTGGTTAACTGAAGAAACAGATATGGCCAGGCACATGAGCACACAGTTGCTGCTCCTGCTGGTATGTGATGCCTCACACGCAGCCCACAAGGCAAGCCTCATCCTCTCTCTGTCTGCATGGACGCCAAACACCACAAGGAAAACCAGGCCCTGAAGACATCTGGGAGAAGAAATCCTGTTGCACCACCAGCAAGGAAGCACATAAGCGTGTGTCCTACCATTACAGTTTCAACTCCTCTGATTTAATATGACCAATTACTTTTTTTTATAATGGGTTGTCTTAAAAGAGAATGAGACAGATAACAAACTTAGAAGAGCCACGTGGTCATGCATGTACCTAGTGAGACCAGGTGCTTTTGTAGGTCTTGTCTACAACCTAATTATTCTTAATTTTATTTTTTCCTAATTTGCAAAAATGTGTATCTGTAACGAAATACTTAAACCTCTGTAGGGTTGGGATTTTTGTTGTTGTTGGTCCTAGGGCTTGAACTTTGGGCCTGGGCACCGTCTCTGAGCCTCTTTGTGGTCAAGGTTAGTGCTCTACTACTTGAGCCACAGCACCACTTCTGGCTTTTTGAGTAGTTTATTAGAGATAAGAGTCTCATGGACTTTTCTGCCTGGGCTGGCTTTGAACCAGGATCCTCAGATCTTAGCCTCCTCAGTAGCTAGGATTACAGGTAAGAGCTACTGGTGCCCGGTGATTTTTTTTTTTTTTTTTAATCTTATGAAAGTTCCTTGCCCAAAGGGTTGATAGAACAGGATGTTTACCCTGGAAACCTTTTATTTCAAGTAGTTTTGATATATACTATATATGTTATACATAACATTTAATACAACATGTTACTGTGGATTGGTGTTTTTTGTGCTGCTCCTGTGGCTTGGGTGCTATCCTTACTTTTTGCTCCAGGTTCCTCTTTACCATTTGAGGCACAGCTTGATTTCAGCTTTTTAGAGGTTAATTGGAGATAAGTGTCACCGACTTTCCTGCAAGGGCTGGCTTTGAACTGCAGTTCTCAGATCTCAACCTCCTGAGTAGCTAGGATGACAGGCATGAGCCAGCAGTGCCTGGCCCTTTCCCCTTTTATTTATTTATTATTATTATTTTTTTTTTTTTTTGTCGGTCATGGGGCTTGAACTCTGGGCTTGGGCACTGTCCCTAAGCTCTTCAGCTCAAGGCGAGCACTCTTCCACTTGAGCCACAGACAGCGCCACTTCTGGTTTTCTAGTGGTTTATTGGAGATGAGAGTCTCATGGACTTTCCTGCCTGGGCTGGCTTTGAACCATCCTCAGATCTCAGCCTCCTGAGTAGCTAGGATTACAGGTGGGAGCCACTGGCGCCCGGCTTCCTTTCCCCTTTTAAAACCTACTAACAACCACTGAGAATTCACCAGCTCTAGCCAGTATACTTACCAAACTACAGAGTCACAAGCATGAGTTTTTCCGTTATCACATAAGGGTATTTGTAGTCTATGAAAAATGAGCAGCAAATGACAATAGTGTATTTTTTGTAGTACCAGTAAGTTTATTTTCATGTATTTTGTATTGTACAACCTTGTTGTACAAGGTTGAATGCAGATTTTAATAGTCCTTAGAATTTTCTACATGTAAGTACAGTGTTAAACAGATGAAGTTATCCACTCTGGATGCCTTTTATTTCTTTGTCTTGGCTAACTGCCCTGGCCCAAACCTCTGTTACCAAAACAGTGGCCCGAGCCACTGCCATACTGATATTAATTGTGGGTTGCATAATCAAGTTTACAGGTGAACTCAACTAATTAAGGCTAGGCTTCAGTGCAAAGGAAGGTAAGTCATTAGTAGACAGATAGGCTGTAATACACAGAGCATTTTTGATGTGTGCTGAGCTGCTGAGAAATCCACAGAGGAGTTTCATACTTTTCAGTATTCTTGGCATGTTCAGCTGCATAAATCTGCTTTGTGGAAGACCCCTGTCTATTGTTGCATGTTTAGCAGCATCCTTAGTGTCTAACCACTATATCCCAGTGCACCAATCTGGTTGTAACAACAAAATGTCTAGACTTTGCCAATTGTCCCCTGGGTAGTAGATTTGCCTGAGAGCATGGATTAATCAAACACCATTCAGTGAAACATAATGTGAGCCACATGTGTTATTTTACATTTTGTGAGTCTGCATATTAAATAGGTAAGAATAAGTGAAATAATTTTAACATTTTTAACCTAGTATATCCCAAATATTTCAACATGAATCAATATAAAAATTAGTGTGCAGCTTAAATTGACAATGTACTTCAATAGGGATATTAAATTTTTATTAAAGATACTTGGTATGTATTTAGATTTCAGAAAATTTATGGTTGAAACAGTAAATTAACATACCCCACTTGTTCTAAGCACACTGATAACTTTAATAACTGGATCAAATGTCCATCTTAAGATAAATTTTGTTTCTTATTCACACATATTTTAAATCTCAATAGTCACATATGGCTAGTGGTCATAGTACTAATGGTACAAACCTAACTATAGACAAAAAGAAAAAAAAAGATTTATGATGATCTAAGACTTGGTCTAGACCCTTAAGCTCAGTTCCAAATACTTGACTAGAGTCTTGTTAATAAGAGTTCTGAGATTCTAGTGAATTCTTTAGATGTTTTGTTGCATCTCTTAGAAAGTAGGTATGTTTTTAGATACACTTCTCTGAGCATATGTAGATGACACCCTGAAGTATATTTTACCTGGGAGTTCCCTACCTTCTGTCAAGAAGAAACTAGTATATCTTGATAATGTTCCCCAACAACAGCTAATCTGGAGAAATTTCTACTATTTTTGTGATTCTACTCTGAGGGATCTAATGTTCTGTCATGCTACACTTAGAAGTGGTATGTCCTTTTTTTTTTTTTTTGGGGTCCGGTCATGGGGCTTGAACTCTGGGCCTGGGCGCTGTCCCTCAGCTCTTCAGCTCAAGGCTGGCACTCTACCACTTGAGCCACAGCGCCACTTCCGGCTTTTTTCTTTTTTGCTTTATGTGGTGCTGAGGAATCGAACCCAGGGCCTCATGCATGCAAGGCAAGCACTCTACCGCTGAGCCACCTTCCCAGCCCCAGAAGTGGTATGCCCTTTTTAACAATTTTTTTTTTCCAGTCCTGGGGCTTGAACTCTGGGCCTGGCCTCTTGTCCCAAGCTTCTTTTGCTCAAGGCTAGCACTCTACCACTTGAGCTACAGTGCCACTTCCGGTATTCTGGTGGTTCACTGGAGATAAGTCTTACAGACTTTCCCTTGGCTGGCTTCAAACCTCAATTCTCTCAGCCTCCTGAGTAGCTAGGATTACAGGCATGAGCCACGGGTGCCCAGCTGATATGTCCTTACTTTTTCCATCTATATATGTAGAACATCCTCTATAGGAATTTAGAAGAATGTTGGGACCTGTTAAGTGCTAATTCCCCTGAGGTAGTGTTACTGGATTTTGTAAAGTTGTCCTGGATTTTAGACAAGATAGGACACTAATTTTTTCCCCATTGCTCTTCAGTTTGCAGATATCATTAATCAGAGTTTCCTGTTCTTAGCAAATAAGGACACTTTTGGTCTTATTTTTATGTGGATAAGTGATCTTACCTTGAGGTCTAGATTTTATCTTTTTCTCTATAAGGCCAGAATTTTAAGATGTTGGTGGCATTTGGGAGATCTAAAGTGGCATTTCTGAGTTTGTTTTCAAAAGGACATGCTTGTTTACCCTTATATAAGATCTTGGTGACATCCAAGATATTTTTGGAATTTTCTTTTGTCTGTTTTTGGAGATTGCACTTACTTTTGTTTATAATTTAAATTCTTGTTCAATCTGTAAGAAAAAGGATTCTAAGTGGCCTATGTAGTACATTTTCTAGATTTAAACTCTTTCACTTTAATTTCTCTAGCTTCTACATTAGGCTCCATGGATTTAAACTTAAGCACACACATGCATGCATATACCTCAGAAAGATCAAAGGTAATACTGTTGAGTCATAAAAGGTCCTCTGTCTTAAAGGTACACCTCAAAATCAAATAATATGACACTTAAGAAGTTCTTTACCATTTAATATTCTGCATTAATCTCTTAAGTTGCCAAGGTAGAGAAATGCTTGTCTTGAAAATACAGCTAATGTTGAAGTATAATTAATATATTGTAGTAAAATGTAAATTAGGTGCAACCACTATGGAAATCAGTCTGGACATTCATTAAAAAAATTAAAAACCTGATAAATAGAACTACTATATGAACCTGCCCTGCCTTTCCTGGCTTATATTCAAAAGATAGTGGCATACCCATATTTATGGCAGTACTACTCACAATAGCTAAATTTTTGAATCACCCTGGCTCATCAACTGATGAATGCAGAAAATGTGGAGTACACATACACAGTGGAGTCATCCATAAAGAACAAACTTATATTGCTTACTAGAATATGGATGGAACTGGAAATTATGTATAAAATGAAATAAGCCAGAATGACAGAGACAAATATCACATATTCTCATACAGAGAACACAAAATGAAAGGACTTTGGGTCTCTAAACTATCTGGAGAAACTAGCCTGGAAAACTACTCAGACAAAGACATGCTGCATGTACTGAAAACAGAACAGTAAAATCTGGGCAGAACCAAAACTTTTGAAGATAGAATTGAGAGTCATGGTTATTTCATCTTGGAAGGACTGATTCCTAATCAAAACTATTCCAACATCTGCCCAGATGAATTTCAGAACTGCTTTGGACCACTGATTCTGTTGTGCTGTGTTGACTGTGCCAGCCAACGTGTGTCACACCACTGTCTGCTGGCTTAACAGCAAATAACTTGTCTCTAGCTTCATAGGGAATACATGAGGCCACAGGTGCACGATCATATGGCCTAACGGGCACAGCATCCTGCAAAGCAGCCAGGACTAGTCACAGAACCTTCTCTTGCTCTGGGAGACTCACAAGCATTCTTTTGGGGTCCCTTGATAAATGAGCTGGCATCATACCAAAATAGATACTGTCCCAAAACCCCCCAAAATCTACAATTTTTTTTTATCTTTTGGTTTAGGAGTGACTAATGCAACCACTTATCCTTCACCTTGGAGGAATATTTCAACATGTCCCATATCACTGTACCCCACAGTGGAAGACCGTGTTATTAGTCAGACTTCCTTCCTAATGCCAGCCTCCTACCAGAAAAGCCTACCTACTTGATTCAAACACTGCAGTACCAGTGTTATGAAAAGCATGGCTGGCACACCAGCTGCAACTACATCACCACTGATGAAATCCACTGTCAGCGTCCAGCATCATCACTGTACAAATCCAGATGGCGCGACCAGAGTTGAAGACCATGTTATTTATCTTCTGAAGTTCTCTTCCTTAAAAAAACACACATTCAGGATAAAAACTTCTGCAACTTACACTTTTTACTTTAAGTAAGGCATCATGGATGCTTCCGGTTCAAAATATACAGACCTGACTCATGTGTAATGGCTGTGTATTGAAACTTAACCAATTTCATTTCTGATTGACAGGAGGATTCACTGTTTTGATATTATAAGTAATGATGAAATGAACACCTCATCTATAAATATAACATGTATAAAATGTAAATTATAAAAATATGTATATTTATATTTACTGTCTTGATTTCCTGGTGAATTCCCTGATGAAAGTGAAGGACTCATTTTTGACCTCTTGGTGACAAACTTCTGGTAAAATTCCATAAGCAAAAGAATGACTTCAGCTTCTAAATATACTGCGTGCATTCAGTTTCCAGTGGTTCCCAATATATTATGACTTGGTGAACTTGAGGACTGAGAGGATTTCTTGTCCTGCTTGCCTGGAAAGTGCAGTGGTCCCCTGGAGACCTTTGGTGTTTAATGTTTTCAAAATTTCTCCTGGAATGAAAATTAGAAGATTAGATTAAAATACTTGTGATATGTATGACCACACTACACTTTTATAAGATGACAGATTATTTACCAATTATATTCATCTAACAATGCATGTCAAGTAAATGTCTATTATAAAGAACTCGAACTTCACTTTGTATTTTTTTTTTTTTTTGGGTCCAGTCGTGGGGCCTGAACTCTGGGCCTGGGTGCTGTCCCTCAGCTCTTCAGCTCAAGGCTAGCGCTCTACCACTTGAGCCACAGCGCCACTTCCGGCTTTTTTTCCTTTTTGGTTATGTGGTGCTGGGGAATCGAACCCAGGGCCTCAGGCATGCAAGGCAAGCGCTCTACCACTGAGCCACCTTCCCAGCCCCCTTCACTTTGTATTTTTAAGGTGTTGCTGAGAATTCTAATCAGACTGTGGTGTTCAGGTATTTGATACTACCATGTCCAGCTTATGAACTGGGATGGAGGTCTCAATGACTTTTTCCTTGGCTAGCCAGCAAAAATATAAATAAAACAAAATAAAATCCTCTTGACCTCTATCTCCTGATTAGCTATGATTACAGCCATGAGCCACTATAACTGACCCAATAAAATGATTATTTTACCTATTAAAAACCTCCTTTAACATGAATTTTTGTTGATTAGCTATTGCTACTTTATACTTTGTTTTTCTGTTCCCAGCAAAGTAAATAGTTAAAAAAAAATGGTTTTTATTACCTGGATTGTTTTCTTTTATGGTAACTAAATAGAACAGTCCTCTTGGGGAAAGTAGATCAGATGCTAATGGGAAGAATTTGTCCATGACTTCCCGACCATCTCTGCCACCAGCCCATGCAGCTTCTATTCCTTGACTTCCTACCTGTGGCCAAGTAGAAGAAATGCTGTTTTCTTTTGGCTCAAGTACCATTTAGATTACAGATTGTGTCCTTCTGACAGGTATCCGTACCTGACATTTTATTTGGTTTCCAGACCACTGACTGGTATTTTTTGTATTTCCTAGTATTTTACTGTGTAAAACATTCTTTTAAACTACTAGGCATATCTGTTGTACTTACCTTAACCCTACTCTCTTAGCTAATTGCTTAGTTCATGGGAATTAGGATACCACATTTATTCTCACAGTGCTTTCTTGAGTCTCAACTTGGGACTTCTCAGGCTATGGTCTGAATGTGTCTTCTCAAGGCCTAAGTGAAATTCATAGGTTAATAGTGTTTGGAGGTGGAGTCTCTGGAGGTTAATAATTAGGGTTGGGTAAGGTTGAGGGTAGGACTCCATAGTGAGCTTAGTGGCTTCTAGGAAAGGTGAGACAGATCTGTTGGTGCCTTCTGCCATGCAAAGACACAGCACAGAGGTCCTCCCCAGAGGCTAGCACCCAGATGCTGGACTCTGCAGCCTCCAGAAATGTGAGAAATGAATTATTTTCTCTGTAAACTGCTCAGTGGTGACACTGTGTTAAAGTAACAGAGAATGGATTAAGATGCTTCACCTTGTCACAAGGATTTCCTTCTCTCTCATGAGTTCATGTGTCAGTAGAGCCAGCAGCTTAAAAGCCAAATAAATCTCTTCCGTCTTGGTGTAGAAGTAAGTGTACTTTTTTTCCCCTGTTCTTTTGCTTGCTTTATCAGTTTGTTGATTTTATTGTAAAGATGTTGTGCAGGGGGTTAGTTACATGAGTAATGAGGACATTTCTTAGCAAGCATTGTTACCTCCCCTTTTGTTTTTCTCCTACCATCCCTTCCCTCCCCCACTCGAGTTGTAAAGTTCATTTCCAACATAGTGTCTTGTGAGTCTCATTGTTGCAATGAGTAATGTTTATTAGCTTTGCCAGAAAATAACCATGGAAGAATGAGAGAGGAACAATGTTTAAAGGAACCTCATCCTAGTCACTTAACAAACTTTGTCTGCCTTGGTCTTTCCTGGGAAGAGGTTAATATGGTTTGTATCCCTTCATTATTGTGATTTTTAAAAATGATGTATTACAGCTTTTTTCCTTTCTCTACTTAAAATGAGAGGTGGTCTTACTTGTATACTTTTCTGATACCTGTGAAAGAGAGAAGACTTCCAGAAGAAATTGCCATGTGAATTTATGGTTGCCTAAAAAATATAATTTACTATGTTTTATACATTTGTTATCTACGATAACTGACATACATACAGATATACGAATATATGAACTTAAACACCATTGACTAATTTGTGTAAGAATTCTTTATATGCATCACAACTTGTCTTCATTAGTTTTAAGTTCCTTTCTATGTCAATCATTAGAATCTTAAAATCTGATTATCAGCTTTGATTGACAATCCTGATTAATAATCAGGATAAAATCAGAGCAGTGTGTGAGCAGCAGGGGACTAATGCAATGTGATGAATTCTACCTTTTTCCAGAAACAAGATAGTTAAAGTATTAGTAATTTGAACACTGCTATACCTTACCTCTTCAGGTGGAGTCACTACATAGGGGGGATTAAACACGAGCAGGTCAACTTTTTCTTTCAGTCGTGGTAACAAGCCTTTGACCTAAAAATTACCCAATTTAAATTATTAAATAGTAATTTATAATAATTTATAATTAATTTACAATATTTATAATTAAATTATAAAAATGTTAAAACTATTCTATGTTTTTAGAAGAAAAATGTTGATGGAAGAAAAATGTTGATGGAGCTATACTTGTAGGCAGAAATGAATGTCAATACATCTTCATTCAGATGGAGATAATATGAACTTCAACTAAAAATAAGACGCAGGTCACCAAAGCCTCTGGTTTTAATAGTACATTGTTGACACTCTAGTTCATTTTTTGAGTAATAATAAAACTTTTATTCTTTAATATATATTTACAGTATTTACTAATTTAAGTGGTATTTTCTATAGCCACGAGAAATATATGAATTACAGAAAATACATCTGAATGAAGGAAAACATCATTCCAACAATGGATGGACTTTTTGTTTTTCTTTATTTGTAGATATATTGGCTGAAAGAATGAATGTCATTGAAAATAGCAACTGGCATTTTGAAAATTTTTAAATGTAATTTTTCTGTGGAGCAACAGAAATGCTTTTTAAAGAAAGTACATTTAGGGTAAAGTGCCTTCAAAATATTTCACCTGATTCAGTTAAATAACTAAATATTTAAAAAATCATGCTTCATTATGCCTTCACAGGAGTAGGAAAGTAAAAGTACTTTGTTTGGAAGCGATCTCATCCCCCAATCCATTTCCTTCAATTACCCTTACTGAATTCATAGAACACTCAAATGTCTGAAGGCATTACCTAAAACATCACTAACATTATTTATTTATTATCATTCCTTAAATGTGCCTTTTTGGTTAGGTAAAGGTGAAAGAAGGGTTTGTACTACCATTTCTTACTATGAATGGAAAATCAGTATTACTTTCTGGAAATAGAAATAACTCTAAGGGACAAGATCTGGGCTTTAATTCTGGATTTAAGCTTTTATTAACTTTATGGCTTTCAAACAGATTCCTCAGCTCAGTTTCTATATACGTAAAAATAGATTATTCTGTTTCTGAAGTTTTACTGCTTCATAAAAAAACACATAATACTAATTATGGACATACTAAAAACCAAGTTAAAAAAATTTAAAAATCACCACACTGATCTCAGGTGAGTACCTTTGTTGATACTCTAAAATTTACTGGCAATCATGACTTTGTGTCTTTTTTGGATTCCTTCAGAGACTTATAATCATTTTTATATTAAAAAAAACAAGAAAGCAATATTTATAAAGAACAGGTCAAGATACAGGAGGTGTTTTATATTTATGTCCAACTATCAAGTTATTATAATTTTTGCTTATAAAAAGGCATTTCACATTTATAACTGAAACTCCTCCACAAATGAAGTTATCCAAGCCTTATTAAAATCATTAAAATACTTTTATCAAGGCAACTTAAAAATGTATGTCAACATCTTTTTTAAAAAGTTGTTCTGAGGGGGCTGGGAGGGTGGCTCAGTGGTAGAGTGCTTGCCTTGCATGCATGAGGCCCTGGGTTCGATTCCTCAGCACCACATAAGCAGAAAAAGCCAAAAGTGGCGCTGTGGCTAGAGTGGTAGAGTGCTAGCCTTGAGCTGAAGAGCTCAAGGACAGCGCCCAGGTAGAGTTCAAGCCTCACAACCGACAAAAAAATAAATAAAAAATTGTTCTGTAGTCGTCATTTATTGCCTTTTCTTGCTCAGGACCCATTCCCCGTTTCTTCTGATTACATCTTCTGGACTTATTTCAGAGAAGTTCTACCATCTGTTGTCTGTGTGTGTGTGTGTGCACATGTGCACACGCATGCTCTTCTTTGTTCAAGGCTAGTGTTCTACCACTTGGGCAATAGCTCTACTTCTGGCTTTTTGGTAATTCATTAGCGATAAAGTCTCAGTGTCAGGGCTTATGCTGAACTGTGATCCTCCAGATCGCAGCTTCCTGAGTAGCTAGGATTATGGGCATGAGCCACTGACTCCAGTTCCTCCTGTTATTCTTAATCCAAGTGGGTCTAGATAACTCGGCTTGTGACCTGGGTTAAAGTTGATCACTTCCTTATTCCAGATCCCTCTGTCCATAGACTGAGAGATAGGTATACCCAAACCGATCCAAATACTCATTTGGAGTCTTCTGATGGAGCAGTGAAGTTGAGAACATTCCTTTCTTTCTGGAGTTGCTGGGAAGTAAGATATGGTCATTGGAACATGTTGCTAATATGAAGCAGAAGACTCCTTAAGCAAACAGCCACCAGAGAGAAGTTCAGAGGTAAGAAAAAAAAGTGTGTGTAATCTCATTAAATTTCTGGAGCCAGCTGTTCCTGAAGCTACCAACTTTTAAATTAAAACCATTTGGGTTAAAGATACCTGACTTATATAAGCCAGTACAAATTTCCTTTGAAGTATAAAGAAGATGGGTTATGTTAGTCAAGAATTTGTTTTGTATAAAGTATAGTGAGTCAAAAGTTAATTACCAAAGTTTCTTTTAGGTTAGAACATCCTGATTTTAGCTTATTTTAAAAAGAAACTGATTATTAGATAAGAATCAACAGCTCACCAAATCTGTAATTATTGGTTGAATTTGGACTTTGTTACAGCGTGCTGTCTCCAGGGTACAGGCTGCTGCATCAGGGTTGATATCAGTGCACCTATACACCAAAAGAGAAAATTATATGACACAAACATACACACTATATGTGCATGAGACAAATCTGTTCCTAAATAATTCAAGAAATGTCCTTTTCAATCTACACAGTCAGGCAGGTGCTGGTAGCTCATGCTACTCAGAAGGCTGAGATCCAGAGGATCACAGTTTGAAGGATCACAGATGAGGCAGAAAAGTCCTCTGAGACTCCATTTCCCAAATAACCAGAAAGAAGGCAGGCCAGAAGTATGTGGCTCAAGTAGTAGAGTGTCAGCTGAGTAAGAGAAAATCCTGAATTGAAACCAGAGAAAACAATACAAAAAATCAAAAATAAATTACATGGAGTAGATAGTGGGAAAAAAATTAGAATGTGTCAGTAAGAAAATAAGAAAAAAACTCGTTCTAATGGCAAGAGAATACATATCCATACTTCACATTTGAAGGAATTTTTCTATGCTGCCACTGAAAAGCAAGAAATAGAAAAAAACCCTACAGGAAACACACTTTACATTTTCTTATGCATGATAAAATTTATTGCTGTTTTACTCTTTTCTATGTTGTATGTTCTCAATTTTTCTATAAAGAAATTTCAGCAAGTTTTCTTTTTTTTTGGGGGGGGGTGAGGGGGGTCTGGTCATGGGGCCTGAACTTTGGGCCTAGGCACTGTCCCTCAGCTCTTCAGCTCAAGGCTAGCGCTCTACCACTTGAGCCACAGCGCCACTTCCGGCTTTTTTCTCTTTGTTTCTGTGGTGCTGAGGAATAGAACCCAGGGCCTCAGGCATGCAAGGCAAGCACTCTACCACTGAGCCACCTTCCCAGCCCAAGTTTTCAATTTTCTAATAAATTATTTACGTAAGAAAGACTCAAATTCAGAGACCACTCGACATTATGTTGCTTCTACCATTATATAGTACGATGGAGCAGTTTGAACATAAAAGTTTTAATTTGGGGGTAGGCATACTTAGCAATCAGTGTCTTTGTCTTTAAAATAGAACCTATTCAAGGGGTCATATTCATAATGAACTTCCCAGCAGAAGATTTGGATGAAAATTAGGGACTTACATGTATAAAGCCTGAGGACCTATCATAGATGCAAGGAATGCAGACACCACACCGGACCCTGACCCTATTTCCAGGCAAATTTCCACTCTAAAAAAATGAAACAAAGTATTACTATAGTAGTAGTAAAATACACTAAACAGAAAGTAACTTTCATGCTTTCTGACATGCACTTGATTAATACTGCATTTTCTCAAAATTTCTACTACTCTGAGTCTGCGCCATATTGTATGTCAATAAAATATATATAGATTGCAAAAGGTGGCTCCCAATTTCAACAAAACTTAGTATAAAGTATGCAGGGTAATGTTAGTTTAGGTTGTAGATACTGATAGAAAAGATACCATTTCACAAAGAGCTCCAATTATGACAGGGTTAACTTTATTTCAAAATTATTCATGAAAGTTTGTCACGTTTAAGTATTTAACCCTCATAAATTCAGCTGTATCCTAGGGAAAAAGTTCCCCAGCTTATTAATAGGTTCATTGTGGCAAAGATATAGCATATTTGTACAGCAATATACTGTAACAAGAAACTATGAGTATCTGATCTTAGAATGATGTTAAATAAAATCTTCATTCTATTGTATGTATCTTTCAACTAAGTTTATTCCTTGCTTATAATCTTGTACATGTGTTTATTTTTAAAATTATCATTCAAAGAATGGCTTGATAAGAGAGGGGACTTTTCTAGCTCTTAATTTCTCAAACAACTACACAACAAAAAGATATATATATATGTATATTTAACTTTGCAACTTTTACTTGTTCATGCAACTGAGAAGCCTTTGATGGGCCATTGTAAGGGCTGCAAATCTTACCAATAGCTTCTCTTTCAAAATATCATGATCTCATAATTAGAATTCCAAGACTGGAAATACCTTAGATTTTATAATAAAATCAGCTTCTTTTACAACATACTTTGCAGTGCAATTTGTGCATTGCATTTGGGAAATCTTGAGAATAAAAAAGTTATAAAACAGTACTGTTCCATACTATATTCCAGTAAATTCAAAGGTTCCATCGTCTATGATGAACAAGTTTATACATGGAAAAATATGAGTGACTTTAAGACTGATAAATAAGATATAAGGGCTTTGAAACCTGAGTTTTGTATCCTTCTAAGGAAACTGTGACCAAGTCTAGATCATTAAATCTTGGGGACCGGATTCTTTTAATCAGAAAATTAGTGTATTTATATTTTGGGCATTAAATTTAAATTTTAGTTTAAAATCAATTTAGCCAGCAATTCCAAATTGGAAAGCTAGGATAGGTTCTGTTATTTATGTGTAACTTCAAATCTGTCACAATTCTAACTGCATGCAACTCAATTTTTTTTGGGGGGGGGGTGGCTCTGGGTCTTGAACTCAGCGTGCTGTCCCTGAGCTCTTTTGCTCAAAGCTGGCCCTCCACCACTTTGAGCTACAGCCCCACTGAGTCTCACAGCCTTTCCTGAACCGCGATCCTCAGCTCTCAGCCTCCTCAGTCCTAGGATTACAGGCCTCAGCCACCAGCGCCTGGCACAACTCAATTTTTTAGTTAAATGAACAACTCATTTGCTCTAGCAAACGTGTCAAGGGCTCAGTACCCACGTAGGGCTGTTGGTTCAGAGTATGTCATTGAGCGGTTTGAACACGTCACCCTAAAACTCATCTCCTAATCTCTTCTGGTTCTTGTCTTTTAGTAGCAGGGAAGGATGCCTTGCCTGTCCTGAATAATCAATCCAGCCTAGCTGACTTTTAAACATTTACCCAAAACAAACCCCCAAAAGCCCTCCCCACACCTCATGTTAATAATAAGCAGTATTTCCAATGTGTGGCACTCCAGTCACTGCCAGGGTCATAAATTCGAGACCAGCTACAGCTCAAGAACCTACAGTAACACCTCTGCCAGAGAAAGACGCCTGGCACACTAGAAAACCTCTCATTCGCGACTTTCGCTGTCAATCACCGCCCCCCTGCGAGGTCCCGCCTCCCCCACCAGGCCACGCCCCTGGAGCTGAGTGCGATCCGGGGCTTGGCGCCCGTCCGGAGCCGCCGCTGCTCCGGAACACCTCCCATCCCCTCTCCGGTTGCTGCCTTCGTCCTCCTCGCACCCCGCCAGCTCGTCCGCTGCAGCCTCGAGCGCGTCCAGCAGCAGGAACGTGTCCTCCGCGGGCTCGTACACGTCGCGGAACACGCCGCGACCCACGTGTCCATAGAGAGGCGTGGGGATGCTCGGCACCGCCATCTTCCGCCGCTGCGTCCCCGGCGCGTGTGCGCCTGCGCGGCGGTGGGCGGGGCGCGGCGGTGGGCGGGGCGCGGCGGTGGGCGGGGCGCGGCGGTGGGCGGGGCGCGGCGGTGGGCGGGGCTCCGCCGGGCTCGGTCGTCGCCGGTGTGGTACTGCGGTGCCCCAGGATGCTGGGCGAGTTCGCGTGGCTTGCCTCCTTTACTTTCGTTTTAGGGTTTCACTTGACCTTTAGCACTCCTCCTGTAGATGTTTTGGGGGCGGGAGCAGTCCTGGCGTTGGAACCCGAGGCCTGGGAGCTGTCCCTAAGCCTTTTGCAGCCGCAGCCTCACTTCCAGCTTTTGGTGGCGATCAACGGGAGATGAGAGTCCCCGGGACTGCGCTACCCGGGCTGGCCTCGAACCGCGATCCTCAGATCTCAGTTTCCCGAGTAGCTGGGATTACAGGCACTGAGCCACTGGTGACTTTTTCTTTTTAAATTTAAACAGGACCTTGCTGTCTGGAAGCCCAGACCGGGTCTCGTTTCTCTACAGGTTACAGTTCTGCTGCTGGGCCCCCTGAAGCTGGGCTTCCCGCACCCGCCACCCTGGCCAGCCCCGCCCCGGGCCAGCCCCGCCCCGGGCCAGCCCCGCCCCGGGCCAGCCCCGCCCCGGGCCCTCCCCCGATTGGCATCCAGTAGTGGTGAGAGGAAGTTCCCTTTCCACGGGTGGGTGTGTGCAGAGCACGTGCCTTCCTCAGACCTTTATTAATTTGTGCTGATCGTTCCAAAGGGTTTCACCAAGCCATTTCGCACGGGCGTCTACATTTTAATCAGCCTGGGCGCTTTTTCTCCATCTCAACTGAACTTGAGCGTTAAGGTCAACATTTTTGAGCATCAATATTGACTTTTTCATTTTTTATTATATTTATTTCTGTGCAAGTGCTGGGGCTTGAGCTTCAGAGCCTGGCCACTGTCCCTGAGCTTTTTTTTTTTTTTTTGCTCAAGGCTAGTGCTCTACACCTGGCCCCATAGCTCCACTTCTGGATTTTTAGTGATTCATTGGAGATGAGTTTCATGGGCATTCCAGCCTGGGGCTGGCTTTGAACCAGAATCTCAGATCTCAGCTTCCTGAGTAGCTAGGATGACAGGCATGAGCCACTGACACTTTTGACTAAAAGATACCTGGTTTATATAATTCAATACAAATCCCTTGGAACTATACATAGGAAAGGTTATATGACTCAATAATTTGTTTTGTGTAATCTAGTTAAATTTTTTAATTTCTTAATGAAGTGCATTACAAAAATCGCCTTCTTAATGTTGATTCGTGTATATACTCTTTAAATCATACTCAAGCAAGATGATACAATTTTGCCGTTGCCTTGGTTTTTTTTTTTTTTTTTTTTTTTGGTCTTTTGTAGCTTTTTTTTCCCCCCAGGGCTGACGACCGAGCCCGGGCCTTGCGCACGCCGGGCGGGCGCCCTTCCGCTGGGCTAAAGCCCCAGCCCTAAGATGATACAATTTTGATAGATTGCTGAATCTGGAATGCCAGTAATCCAGCTCGGCTTTCTATCTGGATATACTATCTTCATAGATAGAGAGAAGACTGTTTCTGGAACATTTGGTAGATTTCTCCTGTAAAACTGGCGTAGCGTGACACTTTTCTACTGGATAGACTTCTTATGTTTTAGGGGAATTTTCTGTAGGTTATTGGAATATTTGAATGTTTGCATTTTGGGGGATAATTTCTGAAATTTGTTTCCTTATTACCTAATTCCTTTTAACTGTTGTAGTAAAAATAAAAGTACTGGTGATATATTTTTTTTAATTACTGATTATACCCTTAGAATTGACAATTATTACTATCTTCTTATGTTTCCTTAAAATATTTAATTTATTTACTTGTTTAGTGCAGGTGCTGAGACTTGAACTCAGGGCCTCTAATTCTTGCATGGCTTTCCCATTCAAAGTTGGTGCTTTACCTTTTGAGCCACATCGTTTCCAGCTTTTTGCCAGTGAATTGGTGATAGAAGTCTCTCAAATTGGTCTGCCTTGGCTGATTTTAAACTAACATCCTCCGATCTCAGCATCCTGGGTAGATAGGATTGCTGATACAGGCCACTGAGTGCACAGTTCCCTTAAAAGTATTTTAACTACAAGTAATAAAATATTTCAAATGAAATGTATGGTGTTTATGTACTTCACCAGGGTTTCATTTTTATGTCATTTCTAAGTAAATTTTCTCATGGTATGTGATTATCTCTCTATGTTTTTAAGGCTTTTACTTTTTTTTCTTTTTTTGATGGATCAAATCTTGGGCTAGACAAGCACTCTACCACTTAAGTGATTACTCTGACCTTTATTATTATTTTTTATTTTAAGAAATTGTTATTATAAAGGTGATATGCAGAGGGGTTATAGTTACATAAGTAAGGTAAAAAGTACAATTTCCCAGTGACCCTTATTTAAAAAAGTAGAACTGTGGCTCAAGTAGTAGAGTGCTAGCCTTGAGTAAAAGAAGCTCAGGGGCAGCACCCAGACAGTGAGTTCAAGCTCCAGGACCAGCACACATAAAAAGGTTGGTTTTGTTCTTTTTTTGGCCATATGGAAGATTTGAACTCAAGGCCTCCTGTTAGCCAGGCAAGCATTCTACCACTTGATCCATGTTCCCAGTCTTTGACATTTATACATTCCCAGGTAAGGAACTGAACATAGTTGTTTTGTTTTGTTTTTTTTCTCAAATTCATCACTCAACTTTGTATAGGATGCATATGTGTGTTTGTGTGTGTAATTAGTTTATTCATTTCACTTGCATTTTATTGTATGGTAAACAAATTTTTAGGTTTCTAACTTATGAGTGATAGTTAATTTTTCTTTTTTCATTGAAACAGGGTTTTTGCTATAGTGTATCTTCATGATACTATTATGGCAGATACATACATTTCTATAAACCCACTGAATGTTTAATAATGAGATTGAACCCTAATGTTAGGTAATAATATTATGCCATTATAGGTTTATCCATTATAACAAATGCATCACTATGGTGAGCAAAGTGAATACGTGAGGAGGTTGTGTCTGTGCGCATGCGCACGTGCGCGCGCACGTGTGTACGCGTGTGTGTGCACGTGCACGCACACATGCATACACATGTGGGGTTGAATAGGAATGGAAACTTAACTTTCCATTCAGTGTTAGTGTGAGACATGAACTAAACATTATTTTTAAAAGTACTCTGACACTCAAAATGACTCAATGGGTCAACCTGTATCCCTATTTAACTTGGAAAAAATTATATTAAGTGTAGTAAGCCAGGCCCAAAGAAACATAGGTCCCATGGTTTCCCTTATCTGCAATAACTAGTATATGTCTAAATCAAGCAGAAAAGGTCAAAAGCTATGTACATATGACCAGATAAAATGATGTTAAGCAAAATGAACCCCAAGATAGGGACACAAGTGGTTTTTTATTTCTTGCTATTGTTCCTAACGTATTTATAATGTACCATATGATTTTCTTGTTTCTTCTTACCCCTGTTTTCATTGCATTTGATGTCGCTGCCCTGCATCTTGTATATACACTTCTCTAGCTTGGGGAAGGGAAAAAACAAAATTGTGCCGTTTTTGACACAGTCTACATTCAGAAATAGTAGCTATGGGGCTGAGAATGTGGCTTAGTGGTAGAGTGCTTACCTAATATGAATGAAGCCCTGGGTTTGATTCCTCAGTACAACATAAAGAGAAAAAGCCAAAAGTGGCTCTATTGCTAAAGTGGTAGAGTAATAGCCTTGAGCAAAAGAAGTGTAGAAACGGCCCAGGCACTGAGTTCAAGCCCCAGGACTGGTGGAAAAAAAAATAGTAGCTCTGTATCCTTTTCTTTTTCTTTCTCCCCAGATGGTACTGGTGGTAGCACAATTGTTCCTCCACCATGAGAACAGCTGTTTAAAAATCTGAAGTGTGCATTCAGTTCCATGACTTTGGCACAACCAAAAGTCATGTAAATAAAAGAAGCCTCATGTCTTTTTTAGAAAATTAATTCTTTAAAGTGATTTTTAACAATCTCTACAGGTGGTCAGACTTTGTGAACGTAGGACCAGAAATGACATCACCTCCAGCTGGTTTGAAAAGTTGCCCTTGGCAGCTGCACACTTCATGAAATCTTGTTAATTATGATTGTTTTTCCTTGTTATAAGTCCTCCTGGATACATTTTTATAAAATCTTTTTCACTTACATAACTGCATAAAATATTTTCATTGGTGTCAAAATGTACTGTTATTGCTAAACAAATCCATTTCAATTTCTAAAAATTATTGAAAAGTTAATACATTTTAATGGTACTCTTGTTGTACTATTAAATTATGCATGACTGGAATTCACAACAAGCATCGTAATTACATTACATTGACACAAGAAAGCATTAAAACAGCTACTTTTTGACCATCTTTCTTGCTAAGCACTGTGGCTAAGGAGTGTATATTCTCTTTAGAAAAGTGATGAGTGAATTTTAGTGTCTTTCTGAAGCGGAGTATTCTTGAAAATGTTATCATGAATATTTATCATCTACTTCTCTTTTCAGCATCAATATTTTAGTTTACAACTCATTAAATAGATCATTTCCTGATCTTTATTTCTACTTTATTTGTACTTCAAGTAAACTAAGAATCCTCTGGTGCTGGTGGCTTATACCTGTAATCCTAGCTACTCAGGAGGCTGAGATATGACCGTCATGATTCAGTCTGGGCAGAAAAAAGTCTGTGAGCCTTTTATATCCAATTAAGCACCAAAAAAAGTTGTAAGTGGAGCTGTGGCTCAAGTGGTGGAATGCTAGCCTCAAGCAAAAAATAAACAAAAACTCAGGGACATACACACACGCACATACATACTCAAGAACAAAGAAAGAAGAAACAAAGGAAAGAAAGCTAAAAATAATTTAAGACATGATTAGGCAAGAAAGCTAGCCATTTGGTTTCTTTGTAGAGCTATCATTGAAAAATATTCCCTAGACACAATATCAAAGCTATACTTTGGGGTAGAA